AAGACTGAAGTTTTTTAACATTTACATTTATTATATATCTACACATACAATTCATGTTTGATCAATTTTATAATGACCAAGCGCAAGAGTATTAATGCCATCTTCAAGAATAAACCTCTTGTCATCGTCAAAGGATAGTACTTTCTTGTTCATGGTCAAGGTTTGAAGATGATGATTTGTAGATTTAATTCTTGTCACATTCTCATAGTAATCTTGCCCAGTTGCAAGACAGTTCAAATAATGTTGATGTCTGAGGAGATGTTTAACAGTGGCACCATCAGCTCCTTTAGCTTTCTTCACCTCTAAAGCTTGCTTGTCTTCTTCATATAACCATTTTAGAGGAATGTAAGAATATAACTTTGGTCTTAAACCACAATATTCATACATAATATGACCACCTAATTCATCTTTAAACTTGCCAGTGACTTTTTTATTTTTATCAGAGTATAAGAAATGGTCTTTACTATATCCAGAGGTATCAAAATAGTGTAAGTCACATTCTATTTCCTTGTAAAAGTCCTCTGTAACTATAGCATACATTAATGAATCTGTATCTGTCATTAGAAATCTTTTATTCTTAAATTTTGACATATAATTATAGTGGAAATCATACATTATTACTTTACTAATATCCAAAATGGTCATTCCCAAATATATTGGTTTATTAAACTTTACAACTAATTTATTTAAATGTATAGCATGTAAATTGTTATCAAACGTTTTGCTACAGTCAAACCTTGGATTAGTGACATATTTTGTTAATAGTGACTCATCCTTGAGATATGTATCACGAAACTTGCGTTGATTCATGATTGTTCGACCAAAGAGACTATTATTTAACAATTTATAAAAGTCTTTTTCAAAATCAGTTTTAGCACATTTGCGTTTTTCAATATTAAAATTAATATAGGGCGCAAGCCATCTAGACTGTCTAAATTTTAAAATTCTATGGTATTTTGTAACAATCAAACCCAATTCCTCATATTTTTGTAATGCTTTATAATGTAAAATATATTTAGTTTTGTCATTTAAATTAGGTATTAATTTGCCATTCATTTTCTCAGGTGCTAATGGATAGTCATTATGTAAATCATGTAAGCTTTTATCATATTTTAAATCAACTTCTAAAATGTATCCAAACTCGTCATTTTGATTGTATTTGTAGTCTATCTCATTAGTCCAACGGAATCCATCCACAGGCAGTGGCTCGCACATTGCTGTAGAGTATAGTGAGTTACAGTCTAAATATATTAAATAGACACTTTCTTGATTGGGGTCATAGTGTTCGCCCATATATCTATTATTGGCTTTAGCATAACGTGTGGAAATCATACTGACTCCTCCTCTGATTGCACTTTCTATGAACAAATGCATGTCAATATCTTGAAATAATTGTAATTTTATACCAGTCATTCTAAGACAGGCCTCCCATGTTAATCCAGGAAGTGAATACATATGTACGGGGTCCAGTTTGTAATCCTTTAAACACAGGTCTCTAAATGTCTCAAACACATCAGCCAGTAGCAATACATCTGTTTTAAGGTATAAATCATGATATTCTTGTAAATTATTTATATTAAAATGGGTCCAGACATTTTTAGCATGTTCGTATTCATTGGAAGAGATATGTTCTTTAGTTAGAGTGCTATAGAATGATTCAATTGGCGGTAGAGACTCTGAAAACTTATCTGGTCCCGTCATGTATTCATAGGGAAATACGCCTTTACGTTGTAGTAGTGGATTGTCAATGAATCTAAATGTATTTAAATTGGAAGCTAATTTGTATAATGGAAGGGACAGAAAGTTATAGGAATCTAAAAATACTAAATCATCAACTGAGAATGAAATGTACTTTTCCATATCCTTGGCTATGCAATTTAATTTACGATTATATTTTCCCAAGTGTTGCATTATTAAATGACCATCGTAATTTTTTAAGTTATGGAAGAATACTGGGATTTTCTTTGTTACTTTATAGTTTAAATTACAATCATTGTGGGCAGCTCCACGGTAGTGGCCATTTGAATGACAATGATCTCTCACCCTATCAAAATATAGGGGCTTTTCACAAATGTGACAATGTGTTGAGTTTTTGAAAGATACCTCTTGCTCAGGAGTCATTACTAGGGGAATGTATATTGACATTTGACGTTTAATGAAGTCATAAGTCTCAAACAACCTTTTGAAAAACACATCCATAACGTTTGTACCACTATATAAATCTTCAGAAATAATATTAGAATCTCTCACGACAACAAATGCAAATCCAGATGGAGTATGCTTGTTAGAGTTTATAAAGCATTCAAAATCTGCATAAATCACAAATGGGGCTTTAAGTTGATATTTATAGTTTTTAAATTGTAATGTATCTTGTTTAGACATTTCCACTCGTTGGGCATCAAAGTTTTTACAATACATTATGTGACGTTCTAATATATCATTAGTATAAAAATGTTGCAAACACAACTTACAAAAATGCTTCTTATGGTCATATTTTGTAGACCGCAGCATTAACTTATTAAAATCACGAATTAAACAGTAATGTGATTTACGACCTTCTTGTAATAATAATAAATCTATATGAGTATTACTGTTTAGTTTGGTTGTTCTTAATGGATATATACATTTCTGGTCTTCAACTCCAAATACATTAACACTTATATTATTTTGTCTTTCAAATTTATCTATATCAGCTAATTTCACAGGATACTTTATGTTTGTCATATTCAACTGACCTATGTAGGGTGCATAATTGGAGACTCTATTAGCATGTTCATTAGAGTTCCTTGGATATAAAGCTGCTAAAATTGACCAAAGGAAACATTTATTATCAGCATTTTTTATATTTAAAACTGCTTTTGTCAATTTAATACTTTCTGGTGTAGGGATATATGACTTTGGAGTTAGGGGCTTATACTTGTAAACATGCAGCTGCCAATATTTAGTATGGTCATATATCCATCCACTGCCTTGGGCTTGATATTTGTGCATGGATGCATCAATCTTTAAAAGTGCATTTTCAATTTGAGGCTTTAAATCTCTTTTCTCAATAGTTAAGGTGGTAAGGCTTCTAAAATCTGCAATACATTCTTTTTCATTAACTAATTGCCCATTTTGATCCATTGAGTATTTTATAAATTTAATTCTCCTTACTAAAGTCCATTTTATCGGAAGAGGACAAGACTGAAGAGTATTTTTAAGTTCATTTCTAATCGATTCACCAACAAATTCAATCATTGTATATGGACAATTATTGCAAGAATTGACATGTCTTTTAAAATGACCAACCACATTTTTCTTACAAAAATTACAATTCTTATGACTTTGTAATATATGCGATTTTAGAACCACATTATCATCACAGATTAAATCACATACCTTGCACAGTTTCACCTTCATTTGATGTACTAGCTTGTAGTGGCGGACCAAATTGCTCTTCTTGGACAGCGAGGCGGAGCAGTGTTGACAGGTCGGCATCACGCTCGAGAATGAAATATCACCCGGATGCCACTTCTATATATAGGCTCGTCCCCGGTGACGTCACCACCTGAGGATTCCCCAGTCTCGTGACCGCTTCACTTGGCCCTTGTGACAGTGCCCGTAAAACTATCTAAAAACGCTTATATCTCGAAAACGGCTTGAGATACGGCAAAACGGTTAAAATTCTGGCAAACATAGTGGGTGTCAACTTTTGATTATAAACAATATTACAACATAAAAAAATCAAAAAATAAGAAAAAAATTTAACATTATTTTATATGGGTACAAATAAAATTTACCATGAAAAATCGTCTAAGTCCGTAAAACTATCTAAAAACGCTTATATCTCGAAAACGGCTTGAGATACGGCAAAACGGTTGAAATTCTGGCAAACGTAGTGGGTGTCAACTTTTGATTATAAACAATATTACAACATAAAAAAATCAAAAAGTAAGAAAAAAATTTAACATTATTTTATATGGGTACAAATAAAATTTACCATGAAAAATCGTCTAAGTCCGTAAAACTATCTAAAAACGCTTATATCTCGAAAACGGCTTGAGATACGGCAAAACGGTTGAAATTCTGGCAAACGTAGTGGGTGTCAACTTTTGATTATAAACAATATTACAACATAAAAAAATCAAAAAGTAAGAAAAAAATTTAACATTATTTTATATGGGTACAAATAAAATTTACCATGAAAAATCGTCTAAGTCCGTAAAACTATCTAAAAACGCTTATATCTCGAAAACGGCTTGAGATACAGCAAAACGGTTGAAATTCTGGCAAACGTAGTGGGTGTCAACTTTTGATTATAAACAATATTACAACATAAAAAAATCAAAAAGTAAGAAAAAAATTTAACATTATTTTATATGGGTACAAATAAAATTTACCATGAAAAATCGTCTAAGTCCGTAAAACTATCTAAAAACGCTTATATCTCGAAAACGGCTTGAGATACGGCAAAACGGTTGAAATTCTGGCAAACGTAGTGGGTGTCAACTTTTGATTATAAACAATATTACAACATAAAAAAATCAAAAAGTAAGAAAAAAATTTAACATTATTTTATATGGGTAGCATGCATTTTATATGGGGGAGCGCACACGAGTTCGCGTACAAACCTCGCATGATTTTGAGAATGTATGTGGATTTGAAATAGTAATGGAGTTGTACAATGGTATTGAACATTTATATAGGCTTGTATAGGCCGAGAGCTGGATTTTTAAAAAAGTGGTCATATTATTCTTATGGGGAAAACGTGCCTAAAGTGGCGTCATATTGCTAGTTCGCCACTACTTACAACATTGAATATTCACATCGGAAAGTCACAATAGCCGTTATTTCTAGTCGACCGTTGATTATAATACTATTGCCGATGTTTTAAGTTTTCTTCTTTAAAATGTCATCTTTTTAAAAATGGTTAAGAAAGCCGCCATTTTTCCACATTTTCTGCAACACTAAAAGCAGCTGATTCTGAAGTAAGATCACTCATCACACCACGCATTCTGTAGGTACAAAACGATACTGAACGAGGCGATAGCCAGTGCCCAGGTGAAGCCCAACAAGTGCATCATCTTCCAGCGCCGCGAGGTGTTGGAGGCTGAGCTGACTCCTGGGATGGACCTTCTGTGGGACGACGCCCTCGCCTCGGCTCCGCCCCACGGGTGTGTCCCTGTGGAGGCCAACGAGACTTTGTACATACTCTACACCTCGGGAACCACAGGTGATTGAAGGATTTAGGCGAGTTTAGTTCTATAATGCAACCTTTTATCTTTGTTGTTTGGTGGTTTTAGGCTAGCCCAACTATCACCTCCAAAGTTCGAACCAAAACCGAGACCCTTCATTTCCTCATTTGATTTATGACTTTGAATTATATTAAGAGTCAGTAGAAAATGCCACAATTGTCAATCTTATTACAAACTTCCTACATATGACTTATTTTCTGATTTTCAAATTATACTTTGATTTAAGCAGAATCTCTTCACAAGTGTACCCATTAGATTGGAAACCAAGTAAATTAAAGTCCTAATCATTAAGGGTCTGCCAGGGCTTATGTAAAAGGGGGATCAACCATACACTACGGATATACCACGGCTAGAAAGTAAAAAAAAACTTCCGTCTGATGCCAACAGGATGGAACAAAGTGCATAGTGTTAATTGGTTTTTGTAACAAGTTCCACAACCATATCGTGATTGCAGGTCAGCCAAAGGGCATCGTTCGACCCACGGGCGGCCACATAGCCACTCTCTGCTGGTCCATGTCAGCGATCTACGGCATGAGGGACCAGGACGTGTGGTGGACCGCGTCTGACATGGGCTGGGTCGTGGGCCACTCTTACATCTGTTATGGACCACTCACCGCCGGTCTTACCTCGGTCATGTACGAGGGCAAACCTGACCGCACGCCTGACTCCGGACAGTACTTCAGGTGAGGGATGAGAAACCTTCAGGACCCACGAGCTGAAGTTTATAATGTATCCTAACATATCCTAACACTCTCGCTGTGAGGAAAGCACACCAATCATTCTCCATCGTTCTCGTGACGTTCCATAGGACTTCGTCCTCAAACGGGGAGAACAGCTGCGATCCTTTCCCTGGCTGAAGAGGACAAAGTCCTAAAACAGCCTCAGTCCAGTAGAGTTTCAGCTCACTGGACTGGAACGTTACGAGAACGATGGAGATTGATTGGTGTGCTTTCTTCACAGTGAGAATGTGTGAAGACTTAAGCTCGTGAGTCCTGAGGATGGATAGTTTTCTTCACATAAAATTACTTCGATAATTTTAACAGCCTTCAAACAAGAGGGGGAAATGATATAAGGTAAGAGAGCTTCTATAAATGAATTTGACTTCGGAATTCTCGTCCCTCTTATTCTTGCCAATTCTTAGAGATGAGATTTTATACAAGGAAACATTGAGCGAAAACTAGGGGGATCAGTAAACACAATGAGCTCCAACTTGGCATATACTGGAAGTAGAGTGCTCAGTCTTTTATCCCTTCTGACATACAAGAAATACTTAAGACTCTATTATTTATTCATTAAAATAAGTTCGATTCCATTAAAGTTTTTTTCCAATTTCCATTTTATAATCGTGCCTCCGATTACATACTTGTACATATTGTTTGTTTTAAGTAGAGGCGAGTTAAACTCTGTTGTTTGTTATGCAGCGTGGTGAAAATAACAGCATTGGTTGATCTCATTTTCATAAAAGAGAGAATTTCTAATTCGAATCTCATGTTGCATGATGAAGAGTGATCCAGGAACACCAAGTGAACGGCATCCTGACGGCTCCCACGGCGCTAAGAGTCATACGAAGGGCGGACCCTGATGTGCGGATCGGCAAGAAGTACTCCACCAAGTCGTAAGTTGTGCTTTATACCTCCGTCTTTCTTGGCTTGAAACTTATATTTTATGGAAAGTTGCCTGTTTAGCAAACTAGGAACGTTAATACCTTTGACTAGTATCAAATAGTCAATAAATAATTGTATGGTATACCAACTCTTTTTTCCACGTTTATTAGTATTTCGTTATTTTTGTTTGCTTTATTAGGCTGAACTAGTTTAGTTCAACTTTAAAAGGTTACGGAGTCTCGATTTATTTATGTTTGACTCATGTTTAGTTGTGATTTATTCAGAATACATGTTATTTTGGGTTAGTTGTCACGCCATTTTCAGTTAATTACAAAATATTGAAAATACACGTTATTTAATTTTTCTTTTACAATACAGTAACTACCTTTGACTAAGTATCCAATAGTAAATGGTACTCCTAATCAGATTAGCAACATAAGTAATAAATTGTTATGTTTTTTTCAGGTTAAGATACTTGTTTGTGGCCGGGGAACACTGTGATCACGAGACCAAGTCTTGGGCAGAACAAATTTTCAAGGTAAAAGAAAGATCTCACTGTCACTAAATATTCCTAAAGTTTGAAATAACTATATACATCACTTAATAAAGGGTATTCCTTAAAACTACGTACACCACGTTCATAAATAAAAAAAATAGCTTATTCCCTATATGGGAAATTCGCTAATAAAAAATAAAAAACTCCAAGAAAACTTCTTCTCAGAGTTTATCCATTTATATTTAGCTATCGATAACGAGTTATACGCTTATTCTGCGCTTAACGGGATGAGTGAAAGCTTCGCCTTGAAAGAAGCTTCCTCCACCTTATCAAGGCAAAAAAATGTGGTTCGGATTCCCCTATAAACTGTAGGTCCCTTGGTTGCCATTAGCTGTATGGGGTAACTAACAGCTGTTTCTAAGGAATAAGTCGGCCTTTGTCACTAACAAGACTACAAAATCGCGCCACTCATCCTACACTCATCTCCATTCATACTTGGCTTAAAATTCCTACTTTGTATGGTTGTCATTAATTTTTTTTTTTATATATATATATTAAAATGCGATTCGTGGTCTTTGGGTGACGATAGTGTCAAATTCAATTTAAACCTGTTCACCAACTTTTCTGTCTTGATGTAGATTACTATTATATTCCAACTTCCTGACTAACATCAGTCACTTTATACTCTGACCCTCCACAGGTACCGATTCTAAACCACTGGTGGCAGACGGAGACTGGACATTCCATAACAGCCACTTGTGTTGGTCTGGATCATTCCACCTCCCCGCCCAAGTACTCCGCTGGGATGCCCTTCCCCGGATATGATGGTATGTATCTCTCTTGATTTAAACTGAATAAAACAAAATTGCCAAACTCCTGTGCACCAAGCCCGATCAAACCAATACTACTACTCTGACAATAGTGCATATCTAAAGTAAACTAGCTGTTCTTATCTGACTTGTATTTCCCAGTACATTTGCACACCCGCTAACCCCTAGCAAAACAATTCTGCCGAGCCGAGTTTGACTCCATTTGATGAATCTTTATTACATCATCTATCATTTATATTATGCCTAATTAGGGCCAATTAGAATCCTTTAAGCTTACTAGAGACGTACAAGAGGCATGTTGAGAATGTCGTAAGATGATGTAATAAAGATTCATCAAATGGAGTCAAACTCGGCTCGGCAGAATTGTTTTGCTTGTTATTTTTACAATGAAGTGCATTTCCGGTCCAAACCCATTAAAGTTTGTGGATATGTCAGGAATCGAACCCCTGGCGACTCTTTATTCTGTGGTTTAATTTACAAGCCATAGTAACTTTATGTTAGAATCGTGCATAGAAAAAGAGAACAGTCGTAACAAACTATTGCTCATGTTACAAATAGTCAAATTTCCTCAGTCTGTCAGAGTACTTTGCACACTTATTGACACCTTCAGCGTTCTTTATATACGGCACATAACTAGATTTAGAAGGATGAATATGTGTTTTAGATTACCTGTTGCTTGCGTCAATTGATCCTTTTTGTTTTAAATAGCTACAGCTGTTTCGGGCTGTTGAGATCACATCTTCAGGTTGAGAACGTTAAAATACTATTCTCATTGAGGAATGAGGTTGTCAGCATACTCTTCTTTGACACAAAACACATACAAAAACTTGGCCGCCCGAAACAGCTGTAGTTCTTTATAACCACAAGAATTAATTGGCTTAACAGGTTATCTAAGCCTTCTTAATCTTGCAATAACTTGATCCATTCTAGGTGTTCTACCTCTGAGGACCGCGATAGGCTTACATTCCCTATAGTTGTTTACTTTTACTTCTTACAAAATTTAAAATTCAATTAGGGTCTATTTTCCAAAACCCACTAACATGTCGACATTTTCGCTGTTTCCACAGTCCGTATTCTGCGGAGGGACGGCAGCGAGTGTGATTGCCATGAGCTCGGTCGCATCGTCATCAAACTGCCCCTTCCACCTGGAGTCATGGCTAACCTCTACAAAGCTACTCAACGTTTCCTCCAAGTCTACTTCTCCAGTTACCCCGTACGTTTTTTATCATGATTTTAGATGAACATCCTTTTTTTAGTTCCCACGCCAGTGGCATTTTTATCGAAGATAAAGCATACAAAATCCACATGCATTTGGATATGCTGAGGATCGGACCTATCCTTCTCGCACTGAAGTCAAAGACGCTAACTACTAGTACCCCATACGTGTAGCCTACAGCCCATAATTATTTTATACAACAATTCTGGTAGATGTGTATTTCTTTTTTCATATCCTGAAAGCACCCTTTTGTAAAATCAACTTTGAATATATGGATTAGGAATTTTTATTTTGTGTATATCACAATACCTATAAATGTTTAGAAGATAACATAATTTTTTTGCCTAATGTCCAAGATTCCCTTATTACCTTCGAATGTTTCAAAATATTCAAGGAGAACCAAACACTGTTTGTACTACCCACAAATGATGATTTCTGCCAGTAGTTAAATAAGTTAAATCCCTTACCCTGAGCAGTATATGTAATATTGTTGATCACACTATTTCAGGGTTACTATGACACAATGGACGCCGGATACCGCGACGAGTTTGGCTACATCTACGTGACCGCACGTGACGATGACGTAATCAACGTGGCAGGTCACAGACTGAGCACGTCAGCGCTAGAAGACGTCGTCCTCAGCCATCCTGACGTAGCCGACGCGGCTGTTGTGGGCGTCCCGGAGCCAACCAAGGGAGAAATACCGTTGTGTCTCTTCGTCGTGAAGAACGGTAAGTCTAGTTTCAATAATTTTGTATTAAAAAAATTATAAATATTTCTTTTATCTTCAAGATTTCTGTTTGGCAAAATTATTTGACAATCCAGGAATCGTGATACTAAATACATCTCAAAGATGGCATCCGAACCAAAGTTTTGTGTATTTTGTGTTCAAAGTGTGCTTATCTAAGGTAAAAAAAAATTTTATTGGTTGTCAGTCTTACAGGTTGAGAAATGTTGATTGGATGTCCCTCAATTGCGTTCAATTTATATGTGTGTTTTTGCTCAAATACTTCTAAAAGTTTAGTTGAGAAACAGATGGAATGGTCGACATAAACTTTCATAACACCGTGTAGCATTGTCGGGCATCTAATAATCAAAAACAGCTGAGCCACGAGGATGAGAAGCTTTGACATATAATATGGAATATCATGTATTATTATTTTGACTTACTAAGGATTAAGACATTGGCAACCTCCTCATTTCTAAACCTTACACTATTCGAAAATAAGAATGGCATAGTAATTATTCTGGTTATCATGTTCATTTGATAATCAATGCCCATTTATGTTACCAAATCTTTGCAGGCAGTGTCCTAGTGTCAATTTCAAATAATCATATCCTAATTTTCAAAGTACCTACCGTAAACAAATTGGTGACATGTACACGATTCACTATGTTCTTGTATGTTTCAGATTGCTCTAAGAGTGAGGACCAACTACGACAAGAGCTAGTGAGACAGGTACGAGAGTTGATTGGTCCAATAGCAGCCTTCCGTCTGTGTGCCACGGTGACAGCACTGCCAAGGACCCGCTCTGGAAAGACTGCTAGGAAGTCCATTGCCGACCTTGCTAGGAATAAACAAATCAAGGTTCGTATCACATTGTTGTAACTGATGATGATGATGGTGGTGGTGATTGTGATGATGATTATGATGATGATTATGATGATGATGATGTGACGATGATGATAATTCTGGTTATGATTATTCTGATGATTATGATCCTGATTAACAAGGGATCAGCTAAACACAGTCATCAGAGGTGTACAGAGGATGGAGTTGTAGATGAAGAGGTTTGTAATTTTGTTCAAATCCATCTCTGCAAAGTAAAATGTCGTATGAAAATCATACAAATGATTTAAACAGTTTAAATAGATCATTTAGAATATGCCTTGGCTGAATATGTCACGAGACAAGACAGGCAAGAGTGTACTTACAACCTTTAGATATTATTTTAATGGAATAAATACTAAAATTTGCTTTGCTAGGCTACACTCAAACTCGCTAAAAAGGTTAATAACCCGTCTCTGTTATAAGTCTTAACCATATCAAGATTGCCTGATTCTACATTAGGTGAGAGTGTTCCTAGGGAGCGAGTTGGCTCAGTGGTATGGCATGGGGCTTTGGTCCCCGAAGTCTCGCATTCAAATCATGCCATACCACTAGACCAGCTCGCTCTACAGATATGTGATAATACCTATAACTATTGAATCCAACTCTTTAAGACAGTGGCGTACCTTTTGGCGCGTCTTTTAAGCTGAATATGAATAATCTGCAATGAATATACAGAATTGAGTGAGATGATCGTTGTAGCTTTTTTGTTACTGTAGTGTTATATAGTCAATGCTAATACCTGCCGTTTCATTAGTCATGATCATTTATTAACAGATCAATAATTATCAAGGAGAGCTGGGCCAAGTTTTGAATAGTCAAAAAGCTTCTCACTCTACTGGGAATTTATCCGGTGACCTTTTCATTACCAGGCGAGCACTAGAAAACTCAGCTAATTGTGAAAAAACAAGTAATGTGTAATTAGTTCTCAGTAATCAGTTTCACACATTAGCCTAGCGTCCTTGAATGTTTGTGACAAAAACTATGGGTATTCCTATTTCTAATTTTATTGAGGACTATTCCAGATTCCAGGGACAATAGAAGACCCCAGCGTGTACAAGGAAATTCTACAGGTCCTACGAACTATCGGCTACGCTCTCACAGCTCCTGAACCTCTCTGAACCTCTCTACTCATCAGTCTGTCTGAACACTTGATGATTACGACCACATCAGTGAATGTTTACCAGTGTATAGCAAGTCAAGCAGAATCGTTTTGTATAGTAAGATAATATATTATAATATGTTTTAAAGTTATGCATTTTTATCCACTCGCTTTTTACAGTTTGTTTGATTTTAAGTGAAACCGTTTATTTTGGTTGTGGAATAGAATAAAAATTGGATTTATTAAAGTTTATAAGAGCAATATCTTCAACAGACTTTATGTAAACAAAATGGCAATTGCATGACCAATAATTTTTCTAAATTTTACTATTCAACCAAATGGAAATTCTTGTAATCATTTGATATATGTAATGATTTTGTTAGTAATAAAGTATAATGAAGTTAAATCTCTGTAACGGGGAATGTAATATATTTTAAATAAAATTTTGTCATATAATATGATGCATCATATTGGTTTTAATACAAATCCCTTCACTTTGAGTTCTATACCTAATCCAAACCCTCGAAGTTAATAAGATTATAAATTACCACGGCCACCTCTAACGGAGGCCGCGAAATTACCGTACTCTGTACGAATATTATGGTGCATATCATGGATCATAAGCACGAATACTTGAACAGACCCGGTATAGATCATTAACATAAACAAATAGTATACTTCGTCCCTAGGGCCGAAAATTAGGTTTTGCCGGCTCGAGATAGTTTTTAAGTTCGAGACGAAGTCGAGAAGTCGCTTGAATGGAATTGTTGAAATCTAAAACCATATGCAATACCGTACCTTAACATTTTAACCAATAATAATATGTTAACCATATCTAAAACAATATGTTAATGCTATTAGTATAGGATTCGGGCCATCAACGTCATTTGTTTATGTTTATGATCCATAAGCATAAACAAATGATGTCAATGGTCCGAAATTCATTACCCGAATCTTATACTAATAACATCTATCTATATATTAATAGGCAAGCATGTTTCTTTAAAACCTTTTTTCTCAGCTTGTGTGCATCGTGGGGTAAATCTACGCATACTGTTAGAAAGCTATTATCCTGTATAGCAAAAAAAATTTGCTATACAAATTTTGGTAAAGAACAATAGGCCTATGTAAACAATAATAATAAATAAAGATAACATAGTGTTGAGCCCGAAATGTCGAGGGGGGAGCGTAGGAGAGGTGGGTGGTGTGCGAAAGAGGTGGAGGCGTGGGAGAGGGGAAGGCGCAGGAGAGAGGGGAGGGGGTGTGGGAAAGAGCGCAGCCATGGAGAGAGCAGGAAAGTGGAAAGCAGCCTAATATCAAATAAAAATTTGAAAAAATTAACGTGGATCTTATGCGTTGCCATGCTGGTGACGAAATAACAACGAAATATAAACAGAAAATCAAAACAAATGGAAGAAACTCCAATCACATGTTTTATTTACAGTGTGGGGTGAAAATAGAGAAGTGAGTACATTACATATTTTTGGTCGAGTTTCGACCACTGGACGACCTCTCGTTATAAGTTAAAACGAGCTGTTGGCCCGCCCTACGTACGGGAATTTAGTAGTCAACTAAAACTGAAGTTATGTTGATGTTTCCATTTCTAATCCAAGCAAAGTTAAACATTTACTGTAAAAAAGCTGCCAAGATGAATTAAAACATGTAAACATTGTTATTTTCCTATTCTTTCCTCAAAAAGTTGAACAGAAAGAAAAATAATTTGCATAAGCTTGTCTTTAATGACTCGGGGGCAGAGCCTCGATTTGTACATCAGTGGTTATAGAATACAGTACTTATTTCCTATAATCAATGGCAAAATCACAGAATAATAAACTAACCTGATAGTTCTAAAGAATATTTTTATATTCAACCAGCTGTTAGTTAAGACAAATTATCTTGCACTAAAACAAACTTAAAATTTTAAAGACTGCTCAAAAAATAAATTATGGTTCGGCCGCTTAGAAAGCGACCTCCTCCAGCATTGGTTTAGCATTAGCGCGCAGGTCGTTTTCTAAGCGGCCGAACTATTTTACCATGTATATTTAAATAGTCTGTCATCCTCTTACCCAATAAATGAACGTAACTCATCAATGAGTATAGCATTAAACATCTATATATATAATACGCTAAGCCGATTTTTGTGAACAGAACTCCTCCCTCATTTTTGGACCGATTTTGATGATTAAAGTGTCAAAAAAGTTGCCCTGATCTGTAGTTTTGCAAAGAGTTCTTTGTTTTTTTGATATCTTTATTAGTTTGGGCAGGATCTTCCATCAAAGTTGGTTTTTCTCCCATAAGATTAACATGGGGGAATCTAAATATTTACTTGGAAACTTTATCTCCACTAATTTGAGAGAACGGCTGGGTGTAGAAACTTGGTAGAGATGTCCAAAGAAAGGTCTTAGTCTGTAGATGAATTATCAAAAGAAAAACGAAGTAAATTCGCTTAGGGCTCTGCCCCAGAAGCCTTTAAAGATTCCACCACAGATTTGTTTACATTTTGGTCAAAAATACTATTTAATAAAACAGCTGTTAATTTTAAAATTGTATCTTAAACAACACACATTTATTGGGAGTTAATGAATAGTCCAAAAGAAGTACTTGCAATGTTATTTTCTGATTTTAAAACTGATTCTCTTCTGTATCATGTCATGTGTTGCAATATAAATAATTCCATTACGAAATCAGTGGAAAATCCTGTTATCGTAATAACTCTTACAATTATTTCTTATTGAACTATCTTATATCTATTTTACGGGTTGGTGTCTACCTTTTTCACACCTTTTCCCTATTTATTTGATCATATTACGAGGTGTTAGCCCGTCCTACGTACGGGAATTCAGTAGTCAGTTAATAAAACCGTGTACAATTCAGATCAGCTAGTTTACACATATAAAGACAGTTTCTTGTAAGTTTCTTGCAGTTTTAATGTGAAAAATCATCTTGTAATCAAATGTTGTGTGACCAAATATGTTTTTATTTCATCATAGGCCTATACGAAATGTATTTTAAATCCGATAATTTTCCAATAGCAGGAATATAAAAAGTAAACACGCTAGTAAAGCTAATGACGTAATTGTCGATGTTTATTATCCATACCGTTATCAGTTCTATCCTTGATAATTACCCACCCTCATTGAATAAATGTACATTGTAATTTCCCATATTAGTTAATTTAAACTACAATATATTCATAGTTTAAATAAAAGTGATAAAAACGTAACCACTACTGAACACGATTTCATAAAAGGATGCAGTATCTAATTGCAGTATCCTAGGTCAATGTTGACGTTGTGTTCAATCTATGTCATCCATCTATTTATTTTTGTATAAAACCCGGCTGAGGTTGTGGTGGTAATTTAAAATCGTGATTCCTGATTATTCTTGATCTTCTTTTTATGACATCAATATTTCCGGGACTAATCCAAACAAAGTTAAAGCAGACAAACATTAATTGTAAACAAAAAGCTACCATATTATGAAGAATTAAAACATGTAAACATTGTTATTTTTCTAATCTTTCCTTGAAAAGTGTAGCAGTAAAATAATTTGCATTTATCCTTTTTTATTAAGACTCGTGTACAGATCCTAGATTTGTACTGTGGTTGAATTAATTTTGGTTAAAACAGTAGTTTAAACTGTGGTCTAATTCTCTCTACTAATCTTACTTATTTCCTATAATTAATGACAAAAATAAAATAATCTCATAGTTCCATAGTTTATATTTAACCAGCTGTTAGTTAAAACAAATTATATTGCTCGAAAACAAATCGAAGATTACAAAGATTGCTTTAAAAAATAATTTGAACATCCTAGTATTTTACTATGTATATTTAATTAATCTGTCATCCTCTTACAGAAGAATTGAATGTATCAATGATTAGCATTACACATAGTATAAACTAGCTGTGTGCCCGTTCTACGCACGGGGATCTTATCATAGTCAGTTAAAACCTTCTTATATAAAGCACAGCAGTTGGTTTGCATACTTTCAGATATGCTGACAAAACTATTCCTTCGCAAATACAGTATCTGACAGTTTCAAGCCAAAACTAATGCTTCGCAATTAAATGTCACCCGATGATCTTGTTGGTCCATATGTTATATCCAAAGACTAAATAAACGGTATCAGCATTCTGACACATACTTTCTCCCATAAGTTTGTCAACAACCTTTATCATGTGTAAGCGGTGAGAGTAAATATACGGAAATGGGATTTGTACAATTTTGTTCAGAATTTAAAGGACTATAACATAATGGTTAAAAGTATTTAAGGTACTACCTCAACCTCTTAATTTAACACTTTATTCGGGTTGACATTTTCATTATCAAGGCGCTCTTGTCCTTTCCGTGAAACATTGAGAAACAAGGAAATTAATGCGTTACCATCATACATACACACAAAAATACCGAACTTAATTAGGGAATCTGCTACGCTTTAAGCATAAAAAGGTACATATAAAATTAGTACTTGAAATCTTTGTTAATGCCATAAAATTTGATCATAACAATTTATATTTGCTTGGACCGGAGATGACTCGAAATTCTGTTGAAATGCTATCTGAATCGGTTTGCTATATGAAATGAAGTACAGTAGGCCTACTATAGACGATTTAGATTGGTAATTTGTAATAAAAATTACCAAAATAGGCCACGAACTATTGATACATAAACAACGTTCAAAGTTTTTGAACAATTCATGATGGTTTGCTGAATAAATGTTTTATATACTAAAATGCGTTATAGTTTTCTTAGCATAACATTTTGGAATCCAGACAGAAAAAGCAAAAATTATGCAGTTAAGACATCAATTAAATTGAATAGGCCTACGCCTGTAATAAATAAGGTGCAACACCAACGATAACTAATTTGTAAATTACTGTGATGTGTTGGTACGTAAAAATGATTCTTGCTGCTACTAAAGGTTAAAAGGAAAAGAACCAGTACCGTACCAAAAACCAACGTTTACAGTTAAGAACTGTAGTACAGCCGACCAATTATATGCGTTAATCAAGGTTATTGATCTCTTGGTTTTGGATTTTCTCGTAAAAAGTTATCGGCAATCAAAGTTATTTCCCATTAATTGCTTTATTTGTACACAACTCTTAATGTAAACTTATCGGTGTCAGTTTGAAAAAAAACCTTATACAACATAACTTTCTGTTATTTAATAGATTACGTATTCTCTAAACAATGGTTGCTGGTATATATATTAACATTATAAGGAAATGTGACAAAAATCACACAACGTTGGGTTTTTGGACGTTTATAATTTTATTTCTTAAGTACCTAGGTAGGCCGTGTATTCTATGGAAAAGTACCGGTATCAAGGATCGCTGTCGAAAGGGTTGTTATAAATAATTGGGTAAGCATACGTACCACACGTACCCAAGAGAAGGGCTATGGGCCTATTGGCTGTATGGTCCAGCGATTGCATCACACGGTGAGTAGGAACTATTGACTTTATA